GTGATTACATTTTGTGAATGCATGTCTTAAGAAAACAAAAAACCCTGTTTTTTTCTTTTATCTATGTTACTTTATATGCTTTCATGTGCAGTCCTCTTCTTTGTCATTTACACAGTGTGTCCGCTGAGCCGCTGTGGATGACTGTCGTTCTTTAATATCTAAAAAAGTGAACACGTAAATAGTTTCTGTGTGAAAATCTGAATAAAAACAAATTAACCGATGGAGACAGTGAGAAATATTAGGACTAAAAGTGTCACCTCAGACATCGTACTTACGTTGACATGTGACAACCTGACACGTAGGCATAGTTGCCCGTGTAGCGAACATCACAGCGCACAATATTGTTGCTGTAGTCCGATTCTGGAACCTGGTAGTAAGGATTTACACTGATCTGTGGACAATATGGTTAAAGATCTGTTAGTAAAAGAAGAAATATTGATAAATGAAACTCTTTTAAGGGTGCTTTGGGAGGAAGTCGTGGTATTTCTAACAAACCTTCAGGACATAGTTGCCAGGTTTCACATCTGTGATGTCAATCCACTGGCAGTCGATGTCTGCGTTGTAGGTATCATAACATCCTGGGCTCAGGCCCTGTGCGTTGGACAGCATCCATATAAAACAAAGTATAAGCAAACTTTTACATGCAAAAAAACAAAACAGTATTTGATTTCAACCTGTTTTTCCCGTCGTTATATAAAAAGAACGTTTTTGGTTTAATCCTGGAGGTGATTTTGGATCCAATGTCAACAAGAAGAGAGACCAAAATACAAGTTAAAATTACGAAAAAAAAACTGATGGAAAATTAGTCAACGTGCTGAAAAACTGACCACAGATGGTCATGCAGGTGAATCATCAGGAGAGACAGGAAATCATTAAATCACCATAAGAACTGGCTCATGCAGAAAGGAAATTCTAAAGCTGTTCTCTCAAACGCAGGATCCTCGGGAAAACAGCAGAGCTTGTTTATGAAGCCCAACTCTCCTTTTTAGACACTTAAGAAACCAAATCATACGTCAGATTCTTCAGAATCTAAATGAATCAGAGGTACTGAAGTCTGGGAGCTCAGATACAGGGAGTGCAGAATTATTAGGCAAGTTGTATTTTTGAGGAATAATTTTATTATTGAACAACAACAACCATGTTCTCAATGAACCCAAAAAACTCATTAATATCAAAGCTGAATGTTTTTGGAAGTAGTTTTTAGTTTGTTTTAGTTTTAGCTATTTTAGGGGGATATCTGTGTGTGCAGGTGAATATTACTGTGCATAATTATTAGGCAACTTAACAAAAAACAAATATATACCCATTTCAATTATTTATTTTTACCAGTGAAACCAATATAACATCTCCACATTCACAAATATACATTTCTGACATTCAAAAACAAAACAAAAACAAATCAGCGACCAATATAGCCACCTTTCTTTGCAAGGACACTCAAAAGCCTGCCATCCATGGATTCTGTCAGTGTTTTGATCTGTTCACCATCAACATTGCGTGCAGCAGCAACCACAGCCTCCCAGACACTGTTCAGAGAGGTGTACTGTTTTCCCTCCTTGTAAATCTCACATTTGATGATGGACCACAGGTTCTCAATGGGGTTCAGATCAGGTGAACAAGGAGGCCATGTCATTAGTTTTTCTTCTTTTATACCCTTTCTTGCCAGCCACGCTGTGGAGTACTTGGACGCGTGTGATGGAGCATTGTCCTGCATGAAAATCATGTTTTTCTTGAAGGATGCAGACTTCTTCCTGTACCACTGCTAGAAGGTGTCTTCCAGAAACTGGCAGTAGGACTGGGAGTTGAGCTTGACTCCATCCTCAACCCGAAAAGGCCCCACAAGCTCATCTTTGATGATACCAGCCCAAACCAGTACTCCACCTCCACCTTGCTGGCGTCTGAGTTGGACTGGAGCTCTCTGCCCTTTACCAATCCAGCCACGGGCCCATCCATCTGGCCCATCAAGACTCACTCTCATTTCATCAGTCCATAAAACCTTAGAAAAACCAGTCTTGAGATATTTCTTGGCCCAGTCTTGACGTTTCAGCTTGTGTGTCTTGTTCAGTGGTGGTCGTCTTTCAGCCTTTCTTACCTTGGCCATGTCTCTGAGTATTGCACACCTTGTGCTTTTGGGCACTCCAGTGATGTTGCAGCTCTGAAATATGGCCAAACTGGTGGCAAGTGGCATCTTGGCAGCTGCACGCTTGACTTTTCTCAGTTCATGGGCAGTTATTTTGCGCCTTGGTTTTTCCACACGCTTCTTGCGACCCTGTTGACTATTTTGAATGAAACGCTTGATTGTTCGATGATCACGCTTCAGAGGCTTTGCAATTTTGAGACTGCTGCATCCCTCTGCAAGATATCTCACTATTTTTGACTTTTCTGAGCCTGTCAAGTCCTTCTTTTGACCCATTTTGCCAAAGGAAAGGACGTTGCCTAATAATTATGCACACCTGATATAGGGTGTTGATGTCATTAGACCACACCCCTTCTCATTACAGAGATGCACATCACCTAATATGCTTAATTGGTAGTAGGCTTTCGAGCCTATACAGCTTGGAGTAAGACAACATGCATGAAGAGGATGATGTGGACAAAATACTCATTTGCCTAATAATTCTGCACTCCCTGTATATGTCTCTTATAAATGCAATCTGCCAAGGACTTACAAAAAAACCTTTTCAAACTGAATTGTGCTGTACTGGGATACTTGAGTATAACAGATCTATTGTTAGTGTGATTTCCTATAAAAATGAAGCTCCCACCAAAAAAGTAATCCATGAAAT